CCAAAGCTCAAGTTGACATATTTAATCTGCTCGCTTTGTCTGATCTTGTGTGATCAATGTTTCAAAACCCAAAGATGTTTAATTTACAGTGATATAACACAGAAACAAATAAACACATCTTTGCATTTCAAAAGCTGAAGCAAGCAAATGTTTGGAAGTTTTTGCTTTAAAAAAAGACTAAAAGACTCATATGGAGAGGCATTAAATAATAATATGGAGTCATTTAAATAATTTCCCCCTGGGATTAATAAAGTATTTCTGATCATTACCCAGCCTTACCCATCAGGCACAGGTGTTGTCTTCTGCAAAACTCGGGCTACACCTTTCACATAAAGCCAGGACGCTGTACACAAATAATTTGAACCACCTGGTATGGTACAGTAACCTCTATGTTTTTGTATTTTTCAGGATGCCGGTTGAACACCCTGAGGAAAGGACTGTGGAGGTGCTGGCGTTGCCCGCAGGAGTGGATGAGGAGTTGCTCTATCTGTACTTTGAGAATAAGCGCCGCTCTGGGGGAGGTCCACTCGTCTCTGTGGAGAAGAAGGGTGATGGTGCCGTACTGGTGTTTGAAGAGGCAGAAGGCAAGTGGCAACATAGAGTATATTTGTAAGCCTTTGACAATAGCCGCTTTCAAAATCTTTCATGTTCGTAATCCAAATTTCCTTAGAGACTTGGAGGTTTTTCTCGAAACTTAATAATTTGGCTGCTGTCTTATCCTCAGATCAATCAGAACTTAAATTGAGCAGTTGAAGGAGAAATGACGGCCTCCAATTACATAAAACACTCAAAAAAGTTCTCTCTACAATGACCCAGACATCAGATTAAAAGCTTTTAAACATCGTTACTTCCCTACTCCAGAAACACTAAAGTAGAAACAAAGCATTGCTGTGCTTAAAAGAAGATTGTAATTCAAGAATGGAAACTGCAATAATTAGTCATTAATATACAGTATGCTAATTGTACCTTTTATTTCTCCTCCGATCATTTTGACAGCTGCAGCCCAGGTTCTGTCTAAAGGACACCACGTTGTGCATAATGTGGAGCTGAGTGTGAGAAAGCCCGCCTCTAAGGACCGGTGTAGACTGCTGCTGCAGGGCATCAACCCCGACACCAGCATTGAGATGATAGAGCTCTATGTGGAGAACATGATGGACGTAAATGACTACACTCTCTATCCCTCACCGGGAAGAGATACAATCCTCATTCACCTCAGCCAGCCGCTCTCAAAAGGTGGATATTCAATGCATATATTTTCTTAAAAACATACTTTTGAAGTATTTCCAAATGATCCATGGCACTGATTTTATATGTTTTTTCTTTGTTTTGTAGATTTCCAAAACCTTAGTGCTAAAATCTCCAAGAGGAAACTTGATGGGGCCATGGTAACTCTTGAACAGATTGAGCAAACTGACTCCATCTTAGTGGAGAACCTGCACCCCGGCACCACTCCAGACCTGCTCACGTTGTACTTTGAGAACAAGGGAGGTGGGAATAATGAGGTGAAGGAGGTCACAATGCTTTCAGAGAGTACAGCCAAGGTCTCCTTTGTCAAATATGACTGTAAGTTCTGTATCATACAGCCTTTTAAACAATATGCTTGTTTCGTGGTAGTTTTCTTTATCAAACAAAATATGTCTGTCTGTGTTTCTTTCATCAGCTGTGGGCCCTGTCCTGGATCAGCCGCACAAACTGGAAGGTGCTGATCTTGTAGTGAAGCCATACTTTGACTTTCTTCAACCTACACAAAGTTTAACACCACAGTATTCTGGAGCTGGAAGCCAAGATATGGCTGAGAGAAACTCGGAGCATGTGAGTGATGTGCAGATGCAGACCAGTCCTCCCATGGTGGCCAGCACAAACAGCCAGTCCTCCTCTCTGACGGCCTCAGAGCCCGTTGCTGCCAGTGAAGCAGCAGAAGAGGCGGAAAAGGATGAAGTCATGGAGGCTCAATCAGAGGACGAAGATACACTATCGAGCCATATTGCGATCCCTGACCCAGTAAAACTTGCTTTGTTTCGACTCAGCAGCTTTGAAATAGACACTGTAAAGGCTCACCCGAATGTCACCATCCAAATCAAAGACAATGGTGTGCACATTGCAGGTGCTGACAGACAAACGTTTGAGCAGATAAAACACTCCACTTTGGACTATTTTGGCAAAATGGTTGAGAGTCATTTTGCCCTGGAGCCAGAAAAGGCCCAGTTGCTTGCGAGAAAAGATGTAAAAGCGCGACTACTGCAAGACATGAATCAAACTGGGTCACCTGTTACGTACGCCGTATCAGACTGTAACGTCGTGGTAACTTCCCTGTCCCAGAACTCGGCTAACCAGGCATGTAGCTTTTTAAAATCCCAGCTGTGTCGCTTCAGCATACCGGTGGACATGGAATATGTGGGCATATTTTATTGCAGAGAATGGTCTGAGTTCCTGCAGGCTCTGGGTTTCTCCTCTGTAGAAGTGTCAGAACAAGGAGGGAATATTGATGTGTTGACTCTGAAAGGGATGGAGACTGAGAAGGAGACTGCAATCCTGGAGTTTCTCTCCAAACCCATTGAAAGGGAGACGGTCTTATCGATGGAGCCAGGCATGCTGAAATACATCCAGATCCACTGTCATCAGCTGTTGGCGGACATGCACCAAGTGTCTATCTTTCCACTAGAAGCAGAGGACGTTTGTGGGTTAAAGGTACGTGGTGCATCTGTATCACATGTAGACTCTAGTGGTCTCTGTTACTGAAGATTGAAGTATCTGTTTTATTCATCAATTTTGAAATTTGTTGACTCATCAGATTGTTTTCTCTTTTCTGAACGTACCTCACAGATCCATGGTCCTGCTGTTGCTTGTCAAATGGCTGAGGAGCTGTTGCAAGGTGTGGTCTCCTCCATCTGCACCAGGACCATCACAGTGAACGCTCCAGGAGTGGCCCGGTTTTTCGTTGATAAGGAGTGCCAGAGCATCATGAAAGAGATGGAGACAAAGTTTCAGGTGTACATCAGCCCAAAGTACGTGCCCTGGGAACCACTACCAAACCAGGTAACGTAATGAGGGAACAATGCAAGACCTGTTTTCTTCTGTTTTCAAGCTACGATATGGAACTTCATTCTTCCACACTTCATCTCAGTTGCCCAATTATACTGGTTGTCATTCATCTTAATGAGCTATCTACACTGAAGCCTTAATTGGTATAGCATGAGGCACAGTTTACCAGCATATACAAAGCAGAAGTCTTGCCTGCTGGATGCTTTAGCTCCGCTGTACTTTTTCTTACTGCTGCTTTGTCGTCAGCCTAAGCCCAATGGACACACACATGAAAAAATAACATTTATGTTCACAAAAGCTCCAAAGGCCATAGAGATTTCAGGTTAATGGGACAGGATGAAGGCATTAATGCATATTAGAAGCAGACACAGATTAATATTGTGTTTTTCTTCCTGTTTATGATCATTAACTACATTACTGCTGGCCATTTTCCAAAGCATGCACATTTGTAAGATGGATGGATGCACTTTCTAACCCTCCAGTCACTGGTGTCAGTTAATACCTGTATGTTATGAGAATTTTCACTTCCTTTTTGCAACTGCTTTACCACACAATGAAAAGGTTAATTTGATAAAGTTGGTGTTAGGAATGTCTCGAGCTTGAGAAGAACGTTGGCAAACACTTTAATGGGAATAGTTTGACATTGCAGGGAATATGCGTGTTCACCTTGCTTAGAGAGTCACTGCGCCTGGCCAAGAAATAGCTCCAGCACATAACTCCGCATAAAACTATTGTTTGTTATTTTTACACTTTGGCATTTAACTAATTAAACAAAGGAGCTGTTTCCATTTGTTTCCTGTCTTTATGCTGAGCTAAGCTAATTGGCTGCTTGCTGCATATGGAACAGACAGATATAAGAATGATATTGAAAGAGCAAATGAGCATTTCTTTAAATGCCAAACTGTTCTGTTAATGTCACTGTATTGTTATATAAAGCCCAATTCTGCTCCTTTGCTTATTATAAGTTATTGCCCTCCGTGAGCGCCAACTGTTAAAAAGTCCTCTCTCATTTGAATAACAGCGTAACTGAAGGCACAAAATGAATAAAAAGGCAGCCAGCAGTTTTAATGAAATATCGCTGAGAGCATGTTTGACGAGCCATGTGGAGGCACTTCAATTTAAAAAAACAAGGTCATTCTGCCTCTCTTTCAAAAACACTTTGCTGAAGTGCACCAAAGATCATCACAATAACAAAAACATTTCATTATTGTCCACAAATGATTCTTTTGGTTGAAAACCACTGAAAGGGCCTTTTGTTCCATGCAACCTGTTTCGACTCCCTGATGAAGGATGGATTCTAAAATGCGTCAAGAGTTTGTTTTTAGGTCTAACTTGACCATGAACAGTTTAAAGAGAAGGCCTCAGAGTTTTCTTGTGAATTTTGTGTCCATGTGCATCCTTATCTAGAGAGCACCTCAAGCAAAGTCAATTTGAGTCCAAGAAACACCTTTTGGTTATATTAATCTCTTTCACGCCAGAATATTGCAACTTGATATTATTGTTATGGAAAGATAGAAATAAACCTCATGGAAAATGTTCAGCAATTGTGTGCAATTGTGCAGTATTCTTAATTGGTAGTTAATGGGCTTCATTATGCAAAATAGATAGGTTTCACGTTGTTCATGGTCACCATAGTTTCTCCTCCACGTTTGGAAAGCGAGCGATATTCACTTGGTTGCAATCTACAACTTCACCGCTAGATTCCACAAAATCCTGTCTTTACTGCATAGTTTTACAGTTATACTTATTGTAGTGCATGTAGAATCTGCTAATTAACATGAAAATGTTCTCTGCAGCAGAAATATTAGGTGTTCACAGAAACATTGTGTTTATTATTTCAGGACATTTTTGAAACTGCATGGACGATAATGTCCCACAACTTCCAGAGAGTGTCTTTGGATGATTCTGGACAGGAGTTAAAATCAGATTCAATGCAAACTGATCAGAATGGAGCTGCAGGCGGAGGTAATATATGTCTCTTCAGTCATTACTCAAATTTTCTGTGCAGTCTCAAACAATCTGTTTACCTCTTTGTAGGCCTTTTAGAGGAGGCAAAGAGAATTGTCTCAGCCATTGATGAAAGACTAGAAGAGGGTGTGTCCAATTCAGACCAACTGGATGACATGGATAACGTGGACCTGTACACAGATGAACCGACCAGCCTGACAGACCAGGACCCTGATTTGATAGTTGTTGATGCTTCCCAGCCCTCAGCTGAAGAGAACACTACGCTGAATGATGAAGCTCTGGGCCTTTCGAGCAATCTTGAAGAAGAGGCCCAACTGTCTCTAGCCATCCAGTACTCTATGGAGTCAAGTCATTGGTCCCTGGAGGATGAGGAGGAGCAGCTGCAAAAAGCCTTAGAGCTGTCCAAGAAAATGATTCAACATGAAGCACCCTCGAGTAGTACTGACAAGAGCCCCAAGGTGAATCGGCTGAAGAAGGGCAAGAATATTTCCTTACAAGACGCCATCAAGTCAGCCAACACCATACAGCTGTTTGTGTTTGCAGGATACAGTTGTGACCTGATTCGGGTGGACATAGCCTTTGGGAAGAAGGTCAACCAGAGACAGGTCGAGGAGAAACTGGAGCACAGGACTGTGAAGAACATGTCCGAGTACCACAGGAAGTGCCTGGAGGTGATCAAGAGGAAGCACGCAGTCGACATTCAAATTCAGGGCACCATAATCACTGTTTCTGGCTTCAAGGACTTTGTGACTGAAGCACTGTTGGATGTGAAGCTGCTGCTGGAGAAAATCTCCAATTCTGTATCTGACCAGGAAATCCTGAGAGTGGTCCAGTGGGTGCGTCATGACCCAGCCTCTTCAAACACGACTCCTTATACCCCCGATGCTACAGTATTCATCGAGAATGTTTGGAGGATGAAGATGAAGAAGATTGATATCTTGCTAGAGAATCAGCCCCACACCATAAACTTTGAGAAGATGCAAGAATACAACATAGCTTCGGGGAAATCTGTGAAAATCTCCAGGAAGTTGGTCGATTTAGGGGATCTGAATGAGGATGTACCAGGTAAAGGAAACGTATGTTTTCTGCACAATGGAACTAATGTGTATGGAGCCCAAACAGACGAGATGTAGTAAAATATCATCAGACAGATCAAAAATATAACTCAATGCTCCATTTTAGCCGGCATGCTAACGTTAATAAATAAGTGTAAATTTGAATCATTTTAGCGTTTTCTAATGCCGAGTTCACACTACAGCAAACAGTCACTCAGCCCTTGCAAATCAGCAATCGGCTGCTATGTATGAATTGTTCAAAGACAGTCCCAGAGCTTGCCAATGCCTCACAGACGCCTGGAAGATATCAAGCAGGCTAAATATCTAGTCACGTCAGGGAGCCATGGAACGAGCTACAGCCAAATCAAACTCCTGCTATCATCCGCAGTAGCTCTCCGACCTCAGTTGTTAGTGTTAGCTTGCTAGATGATTGATGATGACATTTTGTTCTACATTTATTAATGTATTGACCCAGATGATCATCTATTACTGCATTTTCTGTCAGTTTTGGGGCTCCGTGTCTATGTTGATAAATTATATAAATGATAGAAATAAGAGTATCCAATCAAAAATACAATCCTTTGTTAACAGAAGAGGAATACTCTCTTCTGTCGAACCTGCCTGAAGCAACCAAAGTCGACGAAGAGTCTGACGAATTTCAGAATGTGGTGAAGAACTTCTATGAGACCATACAGGAGTACCACAGCAAAATCAGAATCATACAGGTAAAAAAAAAAAAAGAGCTACGTATTTTGCAACAAATGATTTGGCGTGTCTGTAATAACACAGAGATTTTCCCCAGGTGGAGAAGCTGATGAATCGACTGCTGTACAATCAGTACAAGCTGAAGAAGGCCAGTGTGCTGCAGCGTGCCACGTATCCGCAAGTTGAACGCACTCTCTACCATGGGACAAGTGAGAAGAGCGTGAAAGAGATCTGCGTCCATGGGTTCAACAGAAGCTTCTGTGGAAAGAACGGTATGTTTTTGGTACCACTGTTCTTTTGTCCGTCTGTCTTTTCTTGGCTATCACTTTCTGACATGTTGGTTTCTCCACGCAGCCACCGTGTATGGTCAGGGGGTGTATTTTGCTGTCAACTCGGCGCTGTCAGTCCAGGATCAGTATTCACCCCCAAACGCAGACGGACACAAATTTATTTTTGTGTCAAAGGTTCTAACTGGAGACTACACTAAAGGCTGCCATTCCATGAAGACTGCCCCGCTGAAGGAGACCGGTGATATTCCCCTCAGATATGACAGTGTGACCGACGACATCACCAAGCCGTCAATGTTTGTCACCTTCAACGATACACAGGCTTTTCCCGAATATCTCATTACATGTCAGAGAATCCACCGCTGAGGGAAACGGATTACTCGTCAGATTATTACCATAAGATTTGGAAAAAAGGACTGCATTTGTTTTAATGTTTCTGCCATGATTTAAAAAAAGTGCATTTGATTTATAAAGGGCTAATGTGTTATAGTGTACAGTTGGTATTTTTACTTTCATCAGATACTTTGCTGAAGACTGTTTGATCAGTTGCTCTTCTTTCTCCAGTTTAGTCAGATCAAGAGAAACGCAAACAGCTGAGCCCAAAAAGATTATGTAACTTTAAACATGCCCTTTCAAGCACAATGAGGCTCATTGTGACGCGTCTTTAAATAGGTGGAACTCAGCAGTTTTTTGCATGACATTTCACTTGTAATAGTCAATTTGATGCACACTCTCACATTCTCCTTGCTTAAACTGGCAAGCCTCCAGCACATGTTGTATTTATAAAATCAACCATAAATATTCTGCTGCACATAGTTCTTGTTTTTCTTTAATACAGGTAATTGTATTATTGTGAGGCTAAATAATTACAAATTAAAACTGGCTAACTGTGATTACCAAAATTATAGACTGCCTGAAATTATAAGCTATAAATTATTATATATATGTCTTTGCTTTTGGGTTCAGGTATTTGAGTTTCCCTGAAGTAGCGCTGTACTGTCCAGGTTCTGGAGGTTTTTCTTACATAACAGAAAAGATGATTCCAACAGCAGCTCCTAAATGTAGTAACTACCTGGTATGTTAGAAAAGCAGCAGTTCCAGGTCCACTGCTCTATCATGAAGAAACTCTTATTGAAAAAGTGATCACCATGTACACAAAAAGAAGGTTGAAAATACACAGAATGATTCTTTATTGTAATGCAGTAAGTTTAAAGTATCAATGACCTATTATAAATGTTAAGCACTGTGCATCTATTACATCTATTGTGCACTCTAAAGGAATGTGTATTATTATTTTAATAAAACAAAATAACCTGTGAGTTAATCTTTGTGTGCTGTATGCAAAACATTCTAGATCTTGAGTGTCCTCTTTCAGTTCCCCTTACCTGCAGAATCTGTGTACATTATGATTGATTTGGGAGTCCTTTTTCAACAATTAGGTGCTTTGATCACAAATCTTTTGTGTTTTTTCATATCTGTTATATCTGTGCCCCAGAATGTGTTTACCAAAGATTGTTTTTGTAATTTCTGTTTTTATTTTATTGCAAAAACTGTAAATGTTTTTTGTTTTGTTTTAGAAAACAGTAAGGATTTACAGTCTGAAGAAAATCATTATTATTTTTTAGGAACAATAAAGCCTCTTAAAATCAGAAACTATTAGGTGTTTTTTTCAGAACTTTGGTGAGCTTCTTTAAATTTGATTGCGTGTCTGTTATATTCTCTGTCACATTTTCTAAAATGTCAACTACCAATGTGTTTGTTTTCTCTATATTACATTTTCAAAGTATAATTTGACTGTAAATGTAAAGCTGTATTTGGCTTGTTGTTTCGCTATTGTGATTTAATTTAATTACAATTTGCAATACTTTTTTTTTTCCCATCTCCAGCTATGTATTTTCTATATAAGAAAGTTAATGTTGCATTGTTATCAAGGTTGCCTAAAATGTAGCTTTGGACCATTAAACTGCATCACACTCGAGTTGTTAGAACTGCAACTAATTCTTAGAGGGATTGTAACAGAACAGTGAAATGAATCATTTTAAAGAGTCATTTCTGTTTATTTTGTCCTGTTAATGTGCAGCAGATAACCTGAAACTAAACTGAACCTGCAGTTTTTCTTATGAAGACTTTTGCTTTGAAAAATGGAATAAACCTGAGGCTGTTACGATACTGGAGACCGGAGTATTTTCTCCTTTGCTTTCCAACTTCTGGAATACATGTTCTGTCAGGAGCTTGGACTGTGGGGGGCAGCAACACACCGCGGAGCAGCTGGTATGCCGGAAAAAGAAAAGACGAAGAAGACCGGAGCGCTCACAACACAACGACAACCAGCCACCGCTAGCTTACCTGGCTATCGGATAGCTAGCTTAAGTTAGTAACCCACAAAATATGACACCTTAAACGTAAACAGAAGAAGGAACAATAAAGCAACAGACTCTCATAGCGTGTTTGATATAGGTACGTTGACAAGTTTAATTCAGGATTTACAAAAGCATGCCAAAGAACTGTAGTCAGGCGCTGTGCCATGCCCGCTAACGTGCTAGCTACAACATTAGCGCGCTGCTACCGGTACCTGGAGCTAACTGTGAGAGACACTGGTTATAACAACATGACTGAGTGGCTACTGCCTCTTACATGTCTCATTGAATCCACGTTAGCTATCAGAGGGGGACTGTATTTAGCCAGCTAGCTGCCACAGATAAACGTTACGAGCTCGCGTTTGTTTATCAAATATATGTGTTTATCAAATATATGTGTTTATCAAATATATGTGTTTACATCAGTGGCACGAATTCATGCTGCAACTGGCTGGAGTAAATAGGCACCGCTAAACATAATGTAATCTGTCAGCCTGTGAGGTTACTAGAGTGATACATTTGACCCTTAGTGCAGTAACAGTACGTGGCTATGATTTAACGTTCAACTTTCTCTGAAGGCTGGAGAGCTTCGTTTAGACTTGCAGAGTAAATCTTTGGTTTATTGTACGAAGTGGCTCTCAAAGTGATGTGAAGCGACGCTGACTGCAATGTTCTCGCCTGTCAGATGCTGAGGGCTCCCTTCCAGGATGTATGCTGTGTACAGACAAGCACACACTCCCACTGCAGTGGAGTTTTCTGTCTACTGCAACTTTATATCCAGCAAGGAGAAGAATTTGGTTGTTGCTGGAACGTCTCAACTCTTTGTCTATAGGATTATCCACGATGTGGAGGTAACTACACGTCTCCACTTGGCTTGTCTCATTGTGTCACATTTTGGAATACAATCTGTATGCTGTTACGTGTAACATGTATGTCATTATTTCAGAGTTCATCAAAAGCGGACAAGTCTTCAGGTATGTCTAGATGTCATACTCAAAGCACACATTTTACCCTTCATGAATGATATAAACTTAGATGAGTGCGTTGTGCATCCGACTTCACTCTTTCCTCCTCTTTTAGATTCCAAATCTCGTAAGGAGAAGCTGGAGCAGGTGGCGTCCTTTTCTCTCTTTGGGAATGTTATGTCCATGGCCAGTGTGCAGCTTGTGGGAGCCAACAGGGATGCACTGCTCCTCAGTTTCAAAGATGCTAAGGTATCATTGTCTGAGCTCTGAACTGCCTAGCTTCATTCTTTAACTGCCTAAAATAGTTTTTGACTGACCTCCGGGTGTGTTTGTTCTCTCCACAGTTGTCTGTAGTGGAGTACGATCCGGGGACACACGACCTCAAGACGCTGTCTCTTCATTACTTTGAGGAGCCAGAGCTCAGAGTAAGTAGAAACAAGTACACAGTGAATGTGCGAAAGCAGTGTGAATTGTAGCAAATATTGACATGCACAGTTTAATGAATTGTTGACTCATTTGCACTCTTTTTACATTTTCAGGATGGTTTTGTACAGAATGTACATATTCCACTTGTCCGTGTAGATCCAGAGAATCGCTGTGCTGTAATGCTTGTTTATGGCACCCAGCTTGTGGTGTTGCCGTTCAGGAAGGACACTCTAACTGATGAACAGGAGGGTGGAGTTGGAGAAGGGTACGCCTGCAGTCGCTCTGCTTTTATCTAACCATGTCTGACATGAATAGATGTTGTTTTATGATTGCTACCTCTAATCATCTATCGCCTTATCTCATCTGCAGGCCTAAATCCAGCTTCCTACCCAGCTACATCATTGACGTCCGCGAGCTGGACGAAAAGCTGCTGAACATCATCGACATGAAGTTCCTCCACGGCTACTATGAGCCCACGTTGCTTATCCTGTTTGAGCCCAACCAGACATGGCCTGGGTCAGTCCATATTATACTCTACAGCAACCACTGTTTTTTACTTCTTGTTTCCAAGCATGGCAGGTTTGATTGAATGTTTAACTTATGTTGTGGGACTACTCTGCCAGGCGCGTGGCCGTGCGACAGGACACTTGCAGCATCGTTGCCATCTCCCTCAACATAATGCAGAAGGTTCATCCTGTCATCTGGTCTCTCAGCAATCTACCTTTTGACTGTACGCAGGTCATGGCTGTTCCCAAGCCAATCGGTGAGCTCAGTGAATTGAACGATGTGGTCGCTAAAGGTCCCAGTTCACCATTAAGATGATGTCTGTGAGGAAGTGTTGTAACCTCTTTGATCACATATCAAATCTTTCTAGGGGGTGTGGTGGTTTTCGCTGTGAATTCATTGCTGTATCTGAACCAGAGTGTTCCACCGTATGGAGTTTCTCTCAATTCTCAAACAAATGGGACCACAGCCTTCCCTCTTCGTAAGCATTATCACCTGAAAACACTTTTCATATGTGCACTGTGCATACCATTTGTTATTCTGCCATGCTCATCACTGGATAACGTGTTTCGGTTAAAGGTGTACAGGATGAAGTGAAGATCACACTAGACTGTTCCCAGTCTGACTTTATTGCCTATGACAAGATGGTCATCTCTTTGAAGGGAGGAGAAATGTGAGTCATCTTAACTACTGTCAGCATGTACGAAGCAATGGCAGCAGTTTATGATTCTTCACTGACTGTTGTTGTCTTGCAGTTACGTGTTGACCCTCATAACGGACGGCATGAGAAGCGTCCGGGCTTTCCACTTTGACAAAGCTGCTGCCAGCGTCCTGACAACCTGTGTAAGAAATGACCAGAAATAGATTAGCAGGGAGATAAAACATCAACAAGCCCACAGCACGATTCTTATATCTGACTGACCTTTTAGGGTATAAAGTAAACACTGACTATGTCTGTCAGCTTTTAGAGGATTTAGAGCGGACAGTCTGCTGTCTGATGTCTCACTCTGGGCTTTCCTCCTTCAGATGGTAACCATGGAGCCTGGCTACCTTTTCCTGGGCTCCCGCCTCGGAAACTCACTGCTCCTGAAGTACACAGAGAAACTCCAGGAGAAGCTCCAGGAGACGCTACCAGAGGAGGGCAAAGAAAGGCAGGAGAAAGAGAAAGATAAACCCGTAAGTTTGTGATTGCTTAAAATGTTTTGGAACTCCACTGACATTTTTATTTTCACTTGCTTTATTGTTGAGTAGTCAGTTTTGATAATGTCAGCTTGTCCTCAAAATAGCCTATACACTAAACCACCATTAGGAAGAAACTGAACCCTGAATTGCTCCCGATGCTGTGCATCTGTGTGTGAATGTGTGTGAATGTGTTTCTGTTCGATGGGCTTTGCCATCGTTGACTGAATGTGTGTGAAAGGGCAAATGTGGCACGTAGTGTAAAAG